TTTTCTAACCAGTTTAAAATTTTATTCTTTCTCTAAATGAACAAGAACAATGAAGTTACGTTTAATTTATTTTCTCGTCCTAATTGTTGTAGTTACAAAAAACATCAACAATAACCAAGTAACTAAACTGAAATTACTTCAAAATGGAGGAAATAATCAGGTCAAAACTATTGGTGAGAATAAAACAAGAGTTAAAGAATCGAGCATTAACGCAACTGGTAATTTTGAGCATCGATGTATTTGTGAAGAAAAAGTCACCAAAATGTTTATAAAGAACTTCGTGAATATAAAGACAGAACTAGAGAATTACTACCAGATAATGCTGATAGTAAGAAATGAAAACGAAAATCAAGCTGGGAAAATAATTCAAAATTTTCGAGCGAATTTCCCAATCATGTTCTTTAATGACACTTATCTAAAGGGAGGAAATCATCAACTAAAAAGTACAAGAAAATTGACGAATCCAAGAGACTCGACATTGTTCCTAATTCTCGAATTTTTACCAACCAATAAAAATTATGATTGGTTGGAAGAAGTCATGAAATTTGTGAAGCAGATCTCAACCGTTCGGATAAGACCCAAATGTCTGATTCTCCGTATTTGGACTTGTGACCAAAAAGCTGGAATACAAGCAGAAAGAGGTACAACGTCAGATCATGAAATTTTCTTGCTAAATCTCTGGAAGGATCTATTTCTAGACGTCACTATTCTTGATGACTTTGAACGAAAAACGATGACACATCAACTGAATCCTTTTGGCTTTAGCAATGATAAAAAGCAATTGAGAACAAAAGCTTCTAACACTAATTTTTTTGACTCCAGTGAAAGTAATAACCAGAAGAAGTTGAAAAGTAATCAATCTAACCAGTTCGCTACTTACCGAACGAAACCATTTTCCAAAAAGATATCATTATTTCTGGACAAACTTCGAAATCTAAATGGACATCCACTAAAAGTAGGTGTTACGTCCATAATGCCATATATGCAGGTAATCGAAAATTCCACAAAGCACGCAATTAAAATTTACGGATCAGATGCTGCAATACTGAATGTTTTGTCAATGGTACTGAATTTTAAAATCTCGATAATTAGTTACAGTATTTACACCGCTTTCGGATGCCGGAAAGAAGAAGCATCAGGCATGGTAAGAGATGTTCTTTACAGTCATTTAAATTTCATTGGTATATCATCAATACCTTTTGCTAAATTTTGCAAAAAAGATATGAACGAAAATGTATTTTTGAATTTGGATCATATTGTTGCAAGTGTACCGCTTTTAAAAACAAAATCCATCTCATTTTTGGTAGGAAACACTTTTTTTCCCGCTATAATGTTAACGATTTTAGTTATCCTAACGAGTTGGATTATCGAATACCTGTTCGAATTCGATACAATTATTTGGAACAAGCTGACAATTGTTCGAATCCTGTTTGCAGGAGCAGTACCACAACAGCCTCGAAAAACAACCGAAAGAATCATGTTCCTCTGTTTTATTATTGTCGCCTATTACTACTCGAATCAATTTTTCGCCTCAATGACCGATTTTAACTATCAAACCACCGAAGAAGTTCCAATTAAAAACGTGAATGACTTGATGCAAAGAAATTTCACTCTCTACGTCGGACCGAACGTGGCAAATTATTTTAAATCAATAGACGCAGAAGATCCCATTGAATGTTGGATTAAGGAACATGGTCAATTGTATGATCCCAGAATTTGCATTAAAAAATTGTTGCAGTTTAAAAATATTTCCTGCGCTACAAGACTCTCTATTGCAAAATGGTCATTTCAAACTTATGGTGGTGAGAATTCTGCAAAAATTCTTTCCGAATATCTAACAACATCGTTATATTCTTTTATGATGGAACCAAATTCTCCATTTGTGGATAAGTTCCAAAAAATCTATAGATTGAGTGAAGAATTTGGATTGGTTAAGGGATACAAATTTTTCGGAATTTATGACAAGTGGAATTTAAATGATAATTCTCTTCGAAGAGTTGATGATTATGAAAAATTGAATGTACGTCTTTTGTTGATCGGTTTAATGATCGTGGGATATACAGCGTCGATTGTTACATTCGTCGGCGAATTGTTCCTTGCAAAAATTATCAAATGGAGAAAATCGTTGGAGTACGAATTGATGGAAGTATTATTTTCTTTTTTGAATTTGTAAAACATGAAATCAATAGAAGCATCGATTTTCCATAAACATAATTCAGTAGAAGCTCTGATGTATTATTCACAACGAAGTAACAGTTTTTCGGAAATTACGACTTTTGATATGAAACGTTTGCAAAATACGAGTTGCTTTCTGTCACTCTTTCTGTTGCATTTTATTCTTTAGTTCATCAGACACAAATACTGGTTTGCAAAACAAATAACGAAAATTATTTTTGAGTTTAATTTACATCAGATTTTTCCAAATGCTTCCTTAAGTAGTAAGTAGAAACAGATTTTTCTTCAACTACCGTTCCTTGAGAAACCTGAAATTAGTAAATGTTATTTATTTCAGAAATTAGGAGCAAAGATGATTGTTAAATTGTTAATGGTTTATTTCGCAATCACTACTTTTGTGATTTGTGACAGGGAAATAAGAAAAAGTTCAAATGAACCGAATTGGCAAACAGAGATCTCAGGACACGTTACAAATGATAAGAAAATTTACCAAAACCTTCTGATGACAACCAACGAAATCGAAAATCAAAACATCGAACCCCTCGTTCGAGAATTTCAGGCAAAACTCCCGGTTTTGTACTTTAATTCCTCCTTCATAACAGAAAAGTACGAGAATCAAATCCATGAAGTGAAATTTATGAAAAATCCCCGAAACACAATGGTCACAATTCTAGCAACACTGAAAGAGTCAAATTTTTCCGAACTTGAGAAACTAATGGAATTTGTTTCCAACACGTCCTCAGTCCTTATTCGACCAAAATGTCTAATTATCATCTTCTCGGACTCTAACCATCCTTTAATTTACAAAGAATTTCTTGACCAAATGTGGAAAAATTTATTTCTCGACGTTACGATTTTGAACGTCCTTCAAGGAAATGTCACTATTCATCAACTCAATCCTTTCATTTCCTATAAAATCAGACAATTTTCTCGCCAAACCGAACTATTTCCAGACAAGCTGAAAAATCTAAATGAATATCCATTAAAGGTGGGAGTCTTTGATTTGCCTCCATTTTTGGAATTGACACGTTTCAAAAATAAATCTATCGACATTACAGGACCAGATGCATCCGTACTTAAAGAACTTGGAAGAATGATGAATTTCAAAATGATCCTGACTCAATCAAAAGTAAAAGATTTTGGTATATTTAGTTGCGAAAGATGGAACAATACTGGATTTATGCATGATTTATTTCATAATAAGATTCAATTGGTGGGAGTTAGATCGTTTACAATAAGATCTGTTTGTCCAGGTATTAGTTTTAACGAAAACATGGAATTTGAATTGGATCACTATGTATTCGTCTTTCCACTCTTTAAAAAGACATCGTATGAAATTTCAATCGGAAATTCCTTTTACTACTCAATTATACTGCTTGCAGTGTGTATCGGAGTAAGTTGGACCATCGAGTATGTTGGTAAATTTGACAAAACAATTTGGAACAGATTCGTGATATTACAAATTTTACTTGGCTTGGCATTGGATAAAGAACCAGAGAAATTAAAGGAGAGATTTTTCTTCATGTCATTTATGATTATCGCCTTCTTTTGGTCGTCGAATATTTTTGCCTCATTAACTGATATTCAATTTCAATTGAAGGAGGAAATACAATTGAATACTTTGAGTGATTTAGTCAAGAGTGATCTACTGGTGAGTACTTCTTTAAATGCTGCTATAGGATTTAAAAGTATTCTTAAAGCTCAAAAATTAGGAGATGGATTAAATGAGAATCGTTTTGTCAACTATGAGAATTGCATTGATGTTATGCTTGAGGAACGAAATGTGGCCTGTTTGGTGAGATTATCCGTTGCCGAGTATCAAACACGGGCTACAAATCAGCTAAAGCATTTCAAGTATCTTGATCATTACATTTATTCCTCGACGAATTCATTTTTAATGGAACCTGGTTCTCCGTATGTGGAAAAATTTGTGTCTTTGTATCGACAATTGACAAGAGCTGGACTTGTTGAGAAATGGCAATATTATGACAAGAAAATTTCAAAGAGTTACACAAATTATGAAGAAAATTCAGAAGAAAATGTTAATGTGAAGACAACATCCTTTCTGATTGGCGCAATGGTTTTTGGATGTTCTGCATCGATTTTGGCATTCATTGGCGAATTGCTTTACAATGTTTTAAAGAAGAAAGCCAATCTCCAAAGGAATTTAAAAATGATACGTCAACGAAAAACACAACAAAAACATTGATTTGCTGTGAAAATGTATACAGTTAATGTTTTACAAATGTAGGTCAAATATTGCCCTAGATACCATATTTCATGCAAACATTATCAAATACAGAACATTACGATCATAAATTTCTACTGTACGAATATAATTACTGTAATAGACCTTGGTGATAGTATTAATTTTCTCTAAGCGAAAAACAAAAGCATTGATTAACTCTGAAAATGCCTGCAGTTAATGTTAGCAGAAGGTCTGACATATTATTCACAACTAGCAATTTTCCAGAAATTATTATTTTGTTGTGGAACATTAGCCAACTGCGAATGATGAAAAATTCTTCAGTCATAAATAATGTCTAGAGAAGCAAATAACAAAGTTGACTTTAGAATTCATAAGGAACCATGCAGATCAGATTTTGACGATTGTTTCCAAAAAACCGTAAGTAGAAAATACTTCTTCGACTATCATTCCTTAAGAACCCCAAAAAACGGTAATCGTATTTTTTTCAGAAATAAGTAGCAACGATGATTATTAAACTGATGGGGATTTATTTCTTAATCGCTTTTGGGTTTTGTGACATAGAGATTAAAAAAATTGTTGACAAACCAAAATGGCTAAAAGAGATATCAGCGTCCGTTACAAATGATTCGAAAATTTGTCAGATCCTCCTGATGACTATTGAAGATAACAAAATGTTTGATCATATCCTTGAGGAATTTCAGGCAAAACATACAGTTTTGTATTTTAATTCTTCGTTTATTGCAAAAAACGAAAAGCACTTCAACAAAATCGGATTAATGCCATATCCCAGAAATACTCTGGTCACAATTGTTGCAACACTGACAAAGTCAAATTTCTCCGAATTTGAGAAAATGCTAGAATTTGTTGGTAACTCCTCCGGAATACTTACTCGACCAAAATGTCTAATTATCATCTTCTTGGATGTTGACCATCCTTTAATTTACAAAGAATTTCTTGACCGAATGTGGAAGAATTTATTCCTCGACCTCACGATTTTGGAAGTTCTTCAAGAAAATGTCACTATTCATCAACTTAATCCTTTCATTTCCTATACAACAAGATCATTTTCTCGCCAAACTGAACTATTTCCGGACAAGTTAAAAAATCTAAATCGATATCCATTCAAAGTGGGAGTCTTTGATTCGCCTCCATTTTTTCTATTGAAATCAAAAAATAATTCAATCGACATTTCAGGACCAGATGCATCCGTTCTCAAAGAATTCGCAAGATTGATGAATTTTAAAATAAGTTTCATTCAATCAAACGTAAGTCGTTTTGGGAAATTTGGTTGCCTAAAATCAAAGACAAGTGGTTTTTTACTAGATCTAATAGATCACAGGATCCGAATGGTTGGCGGTAGATCGATAACCACAAAAGCTATTTGTCCAAGAAATCTAATCGAAAGCATGGATTTCGAAATGGATCACTACGTATTTCTCTTTCCACTTTTTAAGAAGACATCATATCAAATGTCAATTGGCAGTTCCTTCTACTATTCATTAATAGTGATTGCATTATGTGCAACAATAAGCTGGACTGTTGAGTATTTTGGCAAATTTGACAAGACAATTTGGAACAAATTCGCGATTTTACAAATTTTACTTGGATTGGGCTTGCCGAGAGAGCCGGAGAAATTTAAGGAGAAATGTTTCTTCTTAGTTTTTTTGATTACCTCTTTTTTCTGGTCGTCGAATATTATTTCCTCATTGACTGATATTCAATTTCAAGTAAAAGAGGAAATAAAAATGAATACTTTGACTGACTTAATGAAGAGCGATCTACTGATAAGTTGTTCATTGAATGTTGCTCCAGAAATGAGAAAAGTTGTTGATATTGAAAAAGTGGGAGAATGGTGGAAAGATGAGCGTATTGTCAACTATGAGAATTGCATTGATGTGTTGCTTTCGAAACGAAATGTCGCCTGTATTATGAAGTTATCTGTTGCCGATCATCAGACACGAGGTACAGATCGAAGGAAGGGTTTAAAACATCTTGATCATTATTTGTATTCTTCGATGAATGCATTTTTAATGGAACCAGGATCGCCGTTTATTGGAAAATTTTCATCATTGTATTTGGAATTGGCGAGCGCTGGACTTGTTGAGAAATGGCAATTTTCTGACAGAAAAAATTCAAATAGTGAATCTACTGATGAAAATGAGGAAGAAAGTACAGAGGAAGATGTTACTGTAAAGACAACTTCGTTTCTACTTGGAATAATGATTATTGGATGTAGTGCATCGTTTTTGGCATTCTTTGGCGAATTACTGATGATGAAATGCGGCAAAAGAAGCTCCACAGCATGGAATTGAATTATAAATTTTTAAAAAGGCTAAACTCTAAAAATTGTGAATGCAATTTTTGATATTATATCAAAATTGTTTTTACTGTTTTCCTAGTTGATCTATTTTCAAAATTTACGACTACGTTAATATTTTAACATTTTATTTTATTACTTCATTGTAAATGATATCGACGTGTTATTAAATTGAAATTTCCCACTAAAGCTTTAACTAGTTTTTGCAAATTGTATATTTCCTTCTACCAAAAATCTAGGTCAAATATCGACTTTTCAATCTGTATGATTATTCTTTTGATGTAGTTCTCACCGATTTATATGTTTTAGAAAAAAATTTCTATTTTATAAGGCACATGTTGGTTGTTGGTTGTTATTAAATATGAATAAATAATTAAAATTATATCTCATGCTTTCTTCAGTTTATGGAATTAAAATTATCAAAAAACAGTAAATGTACAATCCTATTTCCTCAATTTCATCATTTTTGCTTATCACGAATGTTTTATCAAAATTGACTCAGAAATTCCAATAAAATTAATAAAGTGATGTCTGTTGGTAAGAAAATTAAAATTGAGGTTTATTCGACAAGGATAAATTTTGTAACGTTCAGAATACAATAATTTTTCTGTTACGCCATTATTTGTAAATTTGGCGCAATTGTTTTTGGATGTTCAGCATCGATTTTTGCATTCATTCGCGAATTGCTTTACAATCGTTTAAAAAAGTAATAGACGTTGGTGATAGTATGAATTTTCTCTAAGCGAAAAACAAAATAAAAGCATTGATTTGCTATTAAAATGTATGCAGTTAATGATAGCAGAAAGTCTGGCATATTGTTGATCATTAACTACAAACTAGAAATTTTCCAGAAATTATTACTTTTGTTATGGATTGTTGTCAACTGCGAATGATGGAAAATTTTTTAGTCATAAATAGTTTCTAGAGAAGCAAATAACAAAGTTTACTTTAAAATAAAAAATTGATAAGGAACCATGTAGATCAGATTTTAAAGATTGTTTCCATAAAACTGTAAGTAGAAATTAGAAAATAACTCCTTCAACTATTATCATGCCTTAAATACTGAAAAATCGGAAATTGCAATTTGTTTCAGAAATAAGTAGCAACGATGATTATTAAACTGATAGGGATTTATTTCTTAATCGCTTTTGGGTTTTGTGACATAGAGATTAGAAAAAGTGGTGATAAACCAAAATGGCTAAAAGAGATATCAGCGTCCGTTACAAATGATTCGAAAATTTATCAGATCCTCCTGTTGACTAGCGAAAATAACAAAAAGTTTGATCATGTTCTTGAGGAATTACAGGCAAAACTTCCTGTTTTGTACTTTAATTCTTCGTCAATTGCAAAAAACGTAAAGCACTTGAAAAAAATCAGATTGATGCCGTATCCTCGAAATACACTGGTCACAATTGTTGCAACACTGAAAGAGTCAAATTTTGCCGAATTTAAGAAACTCAATTTGTTGCTAGAATTTGTTGGTAACTCCTCTGGAATTCATACTCGACCAAAATGTCTAATTATCATCTTCTTGGATGTTAACCATCCTTTAATTTACAAAGAATTTCTTGACCGAATGTGGAAGAATTTATTCCTCGACCTCACGATTTTGGAAGTTCTTCAAGAAAATGTCACTATTCATCAACTTAATCCTTTCATTTCCTATACAACAGCACGATTTTCTCGTCAAACTGAACTATTTCCGGACAAGTTAAAAAATCTAAATCGATATCCCTTCAGGGTTGGAGTTTTTGATCAAGATCCATTTTTTCGATTGAGATTAAGAAATAACTCAATCGACATTTATGGACCAGATGCATTCGTTCTCAAAGAATTCGCAAGATTGATGAATTTTAAAATAAGTTTCATTCAATCGAACGTTAGTCGTTATGGAAAATTTCACTGCTTAAAATCGAAGAAAAGTGGTTTATTACGTGAACTAGCGTACCACAGAATCCGAATGATTGGAGGTAAATCGATAAGCACAAGAGTTATTTGTCCAATAGATCCAATCGGAAACATGGAATTCCAAATGGATGATTATGTATTTCTCGTTCCACTCATGAAGCACACATCGTATGAAATTTCAATTGGAAGTTCCTTTTACTATTCAATAATAGTGATTGTAGCCTGTACAGGAACAAGTTGGACTATCGAGTATATTGGCAAATTTGACAAAACAATTTGGAATAGATTCGTGATAATACAAATTTTACTTGGCTTGGGCTTGGAGAGAGAACCGGAGAAATTTAAAGAGAAATTTTTCTTCTTGCTTTGTTTGATTGTCGCCTTTTTCTGGTCGACGAATATTGTTGCATCTTTGACGGATATTCAGTTTCAATTGAAAGAGGAAATAAAAATGAATACTTTGGGTGACTTAATGAAGAGTAATCTACTGATAAGTACACCATTAAATACTATTGGAGAATTGAAGAAAATTGTTATTGAAGAAAAATTGATAGAATGGTGGATAGAAGAGCGTTTTGTCAATTATCAAAATTGCATTGATGTTTTACTTTCGAAACAAAATGTCGCATGTCTTATGAAATTATCTGCTGTCGATCATCAGACACGAGCTACAAGACAATCGAAACGTTTAAAATATCTTGATCATCATATATATTCTTCGCTGAATGCATATTTAATGGAACCAGGCTCTCCGTTTGTTGGAAAATTTTCATCCTTGTATTTAGAATTAACGAGAGCTGGACTTGTTGAGAAATGGTCAGTTCGTGATGAAAAGGGTCCAAGGAGTAATTCTGATAATGATGATAATTCGGAAAGTAAAGAAGATGTTAATGTAAAGACAACTTCGTTTCTGCTCGGAGTGATGATTTTTGGATGCAGTGCATCGTTCTTAGCATTCATTGGCGAATTGCTGATTTGGGAATTTAGAAAAATGTTTTCGAAAAGAAAAATACGTACTACTGCATGGAAATGAACTTTTTATTATTTTTTGGCTGCCTAGCATCATTTATTGCCTTTTTGGAGAATTGCATTACAATTTAAGGAGGAAGTAAACGATCGTTTATGACCTTGTAGTTGATTTCTTTGAACAAACACTTTTTAGCTAAATCATCTATTAAGCTAATACACTTTATTGATCGCAATCATAGTTAAAGCTTTAAGTTGCTTGGAAACCAAAAACACAAAACAAGAAACAAAACTTTATGGCAAATATAAAACTTCCTCAGGTGCAAAAGTGTTATAGTGCAAGTTTCACCATTTTTACACTTTTTGCAGACAAGTCATGAAGACTGCGAATATTTCTGTTATTTTTACTATCGTTGTGCTAATGGTTCAGAACAGTATAAATGCCCAAGAAAAAATATCACAAGAAACAAATAATTGTCCATTGCAAACAGTTGGAGTAGAAGCAAACTGGTCCAAAATTGTACCAAGTGAAAGAATCAATTCGCAGTCCTTTGAAAGGATTGTCAATCCCTCTTTCCCTTAAGAGAGATTTAAAAATTTATCAAACTTTGCTAATAGCTGATGACGATGAAAAGTCTCCGAGAGTTTCCCAAATAGTTTCCACTATAGAAAGAAGACTTCCGACAATAAAATTCAAGAGTCATTATTTGGGAGAAAAATTCCAACAACTAGAGAGATTGATTTCTAATCCACGGGACACGACATTATTTATTATCGTTGAGTCATCAAGAGGGAACAATTGCACAAATTGGTTGCGAGGAGTGATGAATTACATAATACGATTATCGACAGTACGAATTCGACCCAAATGTTTAATTATTCGTCTTTTGGATTCAGATCACAACAGCAATTACAAAACTTTCCTGGAAAAATTCTGGGGGAATTCCTTCCTCGACATTACGATTCTTGACGTTCTGAACAAAAATATGATGCTTTATGATTTAAATCCATTTGTGGGAAATGAAACCAGTTGCAAAATAAATCAGTTCTCTATTAAAACCCAATTGTTTGTTGACAAACTACGAAATCTAAATGGATATCCACTGAAGATTGCAGCTTTCAATCGTGCTCCTTTTCTTGCCGTCGAAAGAAATTTAACGAAACATCAAATCCAAATTTCCGGACCAGATGCAATAGTTGTGGACATTTTATCACAAGTAATGAATTTTGAACCACTTTTGGTATCAGATAGCGAAGATTTCGGAAATTTTGAATGCAATATACAAAAGTCAACTGGTCCCTTACTCGATTTGTTTAATCATCGAATACATTTAATTGCCGTTAGGTCCATTACCCTAAATAACATCTGCCTAAAATCAGTTAATGAATTATCATATCTAGAATTGGATCACTTTGCAATAATAGTTCCAATATTTCCACCTGAAGCAATTGTGTTGTCGTTGGGATCAACATTTTACTACGTTATTCTTCTGACATTGATTATCATATCATCCAATTGGATAATCGAGTACCTTTTCGATTTCGACAGACAAATCTGGAACATGACAATTGCCTTTCAAATTCTATTCAGTGTTGCTGTGCCTAAGCATCCCCAGAAACAAAAGGAAAGAATTATTTTTCTCTTATTGTCAGTAGTGGCATTTTATTATTCCTGTAATTTTTATTCTGCGCTAAGTGATTTTAATTTCAATTCTCAAGAAATACGGCAAATCAACAGTCTCAGTGATTTTAACAATTCTAAAATTTCCGTCGGTTTTCACATGATAATTCCTTATTGGATTGACGGTTCGAATGATAAGGATTTAGCTGTAATGTGGTCGAAGAAGAAAATACGAATTATTAATCATGATGTTTGCTTGAGAAGTTTGCTTTCAAACAAAAATATTGCCTGTGTCATGAAATATTCAATTGCAAAATGGAAAGTAGAAACCTACAAGGCAAAATCTAAAATGAAAATTCTTGGGGAGTATCTTTATTCAACAACTCAAGGATATTTGCTACAACCTGGATCACCATTCGTTGAAGAATTTAAGAAGATCCTTAGAACTATAAATGAAGCAGCTTTGAATAATAACTGGAGGATTAATAAAAGTTTTCGGAAAGCAAAAGATGAGGAACCTCATGAAAATATGTCGAACAGTTCGAAAAATTATGATGAATTCAAAATTAAATTTTTAGTTCTTAGAATACTTATTTTCGGCTACGTTACGTCAATTTTTGCATTTTTTGGCGAATTGCTTTATAATTGTTTCAAGGGGTAATCCAATAAAGCTGGTGAACTTTACGACCTCGATATTTCTTTTTTTCATTGAATTATTACTTGGAAAATTTGTTTCAAGAAAATGCTGTTTTTTGTAAGTAAGAAATTACTAAAGAAATGTACACGCAAATATT